CTTCAATGGATTGGATGGATACTGTGCCGATGGAGGCCGGGTATTTGATCAATCTAGTTGTTGCGGCTTGCTAGCTACATGCATCTCACCCATCAAAGGACAACCAATTTGATCTTTGATTTAAAAAAGGGAACATGAGGACAACAGCCTGATTTTTTGCAAATTCAAAGTGTTTACACTGCTCCATATGATATACCTGGTTAAGGTCCAACATGTTGTTTCCGTTTCCACAGGACTACGATGATGGAGCTTGTGCTTTGGAAGACACCAGGCTGGATTGACTGGGCCCAAGAAACAGGTGAAGAAAACAATGCTCTACTCAACCCTACTCTAATTTTCAAGGGGTATTCGGATTAACAGTAATCCCATCAACGATTTTCCCATTTTCCAACCCAAATTCCGATCTGGATCTCGGTCCTTCACCATCCATACCAATGCAGGCCGAAGATGGATATGCCGGAAAGCACCTGCAATCCACCGGTCAAGTTGCTTGGTGGGTCAGTGACGTGGCTCAGGTGATAGTGTAAAAACTGTATTAAGATGCCATTCATAGTTGCAATGAAACTGTATCTTTCCTTTAATGGGAGCACCCAAAAAATTGTTTTCCAGGTTCTTGGCGGTTATAAACACAAACATGTTTTCAGAAATAATTGGATTTGTGCCAAGGGTAACTCCGAGTGAATCTTAGCTGCAAGATTGCCCTAGCATTTTTTCATTTTAAGTGCCACAGAAATGATTTTCAGTATCCGTATTGTATGGTTTCTCAACTGAACAAAAATCTGAGGAAATCGAGGATGAAGTTGATGCTATTCTGATGAGCTTGGACACACAGCCTTACTCACCCCACTGTAAGGAGCTATTATGGGATGCCTTAAGGGTTAACAATAAAAATCATAAGCCATAAGGCATAGGCGGTTTATTGGGCAAGAATATTGCTGATAGATAAATAGATAGATAGATAGATAGATACATAGATAGGTAGATAGATAGATATAAATATAAATATATATATATTTATGGGATATATGTAATTTGATTTCACTTCTATTTTCATCAATAAACTATTTAGTAAAATCTAGTTGGGTTACCTCTGCTACCTGGCCAGGAGCTTGGACTCCGATGGAACTACGAGCTGGAGAAGTTTGAGATGATCCCACCGGAGGATGCGGAGAAGGGTGAAAAGAAAAAGGAGATGGGTTATTGGAGTCGCCGAAAGGGTCACAACGTTTGGGTAGAACCAGGGCAAAAGATGTGTTGCCATGACGCCAAGAATTCCAGCTACTTTTGCCCACGTGGCCCCGAGTGTGATTTTTGCAAAGATGCCCGAGAAGTTGAACTTTCACCCACTCTTGAATTGGGATCAACATGGGGGTCTGATGATGAACCGACCCCACCAACAATTCCAACGGAGAATGCCCTTGTTGACACTTCCCGGGGTTCAGCTGATTGGGATGAGTCTTGGAATAGTTGGTGGGATGAGCTTGTGTCCACAGCAGCCACTCCAAAGGAGAATTCCCAGGACAGTTCCGAGGTGTCCACATCAACCAAGGGGGATGCCCTTGGATCCGGGTGTTCCACAGGTTGGGATGAGTCTTGGGATAGCTGGTGGGATGAGCTTGTGTCTGCAGCAGCCACTCCAAAGGACAGTTGCGAGGTGTCCACATCAACCAAGGCGGATGCCCTTGGATCCCGGTGTTCCACAGGTTGGGATGAGTCTTGGGATAGCTGGTGGGATGAACTTGTGTCCGCAGCAACCACTCCAAAGGACAATTCCCAGGACAATTCTGAAGTGTCCACATCAACCACCCCAAAGGGGGATGCCCATGACAATTCCGGGTGTTCAACAGATTGGGATGAGTCTTGGGATAGCTGGTGGGAGGACGTGGTCTCCGACCCTGAGTTGAGAAGTTTCTGGGAGGAACATGGTTTGCCAAGCAAAGATCATGAGAAAGGTTTGGTCGCAGTGGACCCCCCAGCCGTGGAGGATTTGCCCCAGGATATTTTCAGTTTAGCCATTTTTTGCCGTGAGCAAGGTTGGCGCTCTTCGCACCAGATCGCTGGCTTTCTGAACAAGATGGATGACGCCTACATTCTCAGCATGATCGAGGAAGGGAAAACTAGCCCTGAGGTAAAAGAACTTCTCTCTTTCCACAACGGGCTTGAAAACTTCGAATGGGATTTTGAATGTGACAAGTTGGAGCACTTAGTAGAAGTAGTTCGTCAGCTGGGTGAGATAGATGAAGATCCAGGTGATGAAAACCATGAGTCTTTGGCCCCAAAAGAAGATCTTTCAGAGTCTTCCTTGCTTCATCAACCTTCTGGTGGAACAATGGAAACCGGGGACAAAACGGAGAAGGATGCTAGGAAATGCTAGGCTCATATTTTCTTTGTTTTGTTTTGATGCGGGGTTGTTTCCAAATCTACCTCAATACCATCGGTTTATTTATTTCAATTTTCCTTTCCATGACCATTTGGGACACCCCCCCATTCTGAGACACCATTGATTTCCCACATGTTGCTGCTGGACCCCATCTCAGGAATCATTTATTCTCAACGGTTCTTTGCCTTTTGTGGGATTACTAAATTTTATCTATAAGAGGGATCATGCCCATGCTGCAGAATTACTATTTCTTTCCCGGGGATTCGCAAACGTAAGGACACAAATTTGGAGACCGAGAATGGTGGCCATGGTGTGTCAACTATCATGCCATACATCCCTGCCAATTCCAATGGGCCCGATGCGTACAGCTCTGATGATTGGTGGCCCAATGACGATGAGCTTTGGGAGTTATACGAAAATGGCTCTTGGTGGGACAAGGGTGGGTGTGACACTGGGCCCGTAGCTACTGAACTGGTTCCCCATGATCCAGCTCGCCAATTTGAGATTGAATTAGCGGAAGAGATGAAGAAGGACGGGCCCCTGTTCAAACTCTTACTACATTTGTCGCATGTCCATAATTCCTGTAAAAAAAATAACCCAACTAATGTCCCCATACTGGATCCAGGACATGGACATAGACATTCCTCCTGATCATGATGAGTCTTCCAAGCCAGGGCCTGAATATGATGATGTTACAACTTGTTTTTTTACTTTCATGTCGCAGTTTAATGCGCATACCCTGTCCTATAGGCCCGCTGATGGAGCTGGAAAGAACGACAAGGATGGGGTTTAGTGAAAACCAATTCACAACATCATCAGAAGCGACAAACCAAAGGCACCTCACACATGTAGCTGTCGATTTGCGCAGGTGGGAAACAAAGATCGATCTTCCCAGGGTCCTGCAGCGTGTTTGCAAGTGGTGGGCTGGGTTTCTTTCCTTCATAAATCAATGTACCTTGCAAACACAACAGTATTCAGAATATAAAAGGAAGGAACCCATTATAGTTATAGTTATAATTTATATAAATAAATAAATAAATATATATATATATATTATAGGGTGTTGTTTTCTACGGGTTTTCCAGGATGAAGCCAGATCAATTTTAGTGTCATTGAGCTCAGGCATCTTTCAACTTGGAAGTGCCGAAGGTTGAGTCTTCAATTCCTGACGCTGTGCTCCGCCGGTGTGTTGGCAAGCAAACCCCTGTGACCCCCCATGCCCAGCGGTTGTTGGTTGCTTCCATGAAAGAAGCAAAGATGCCTCAACCTGGGGAAGCGCCTGGAAAACTTGCAGCAAAGGCGAAGGCAAAAAGCAAGGCTTCGGCGAAGCCAAAGGCTCCGTCGAAGCCAAAGGTCAGCAAACCCAAGGCGACCCCGGCTGCAAAGTCAGGTGCAGCCCCGAAAGGAGAAAAGACACCATACGCTCTGGCAAAAGACGCATACGTAGCGGAGTTTCTAGTCAGCAGTGTTTGTTTAGATAATCCCCACCTGGTTTTTCTGTAGCCTTATGCAAACCCTTGCGAAATTACTTGGACCTAAGGTTGCGCAAGCAGGGCGTCACCAAGGCGAAGGAAAGGGAAGAAAGGCCTGCAGCCAAAGACCCCGTTATGCATACTTGGTATTAGTATGCATTAGTCTTTATTTGGGTTTGCCATATGGATGTTTTCTAAAATGGGAATAACACAAAAAGGATGATTTACTATAACGGAGCAAACATAATATTAACACATATAAAGGATTTGGGGGTACCCGTATTTTAGGAATTTCCAAGATGGTGATTTATTTGGGTTCAGGACGGGGGTGTTTCAAACACATCTATCAATATTTTCAATCTTTAAGATGTGGTGGCGTAGTAGAATAAAGAGCTATGGTTCAATTGGGTGATAGATATAGATCTTTTGGGGTGTGTCCTCTTTTGGGAATTTGTTGAAAAAATCAATCGGTAAACAATCATAATCATTACATCATTACAAACTAACAATGTTCAATCATCCCAATCCCAGGCTAATTTTTCATTGAATTTCTGGGTTTCATGGTGCTAGGTGGAAATCCAGTGAGGAACGTGCCCGTATCCTGGAGAACATCCCTTTGCACGAACAGAAGCGCAGGCGATATACGTAGGATTCCAAGTGATGACAGCAGTTGGAACTACCAACGGCTCAATTCCAATCATGGCTTTTAGTCTTTGACCAAAAGTTTGGCTGACTGTGCAAACAAGCACTAGCTACTTTTCGGGGATCTGGAAAGCAAAATGCTTGCCAGTCTTGACTAGCAAATTACCTTACGCAATCCAGGGGCAAGGAAAACCAACATCTGTCCTTGCATGAGTTGGCCAGTGACCATGCAGTGCCAGATATCGACGTTGCTGTCGTTGCATCGCTCCTTGGATGGTGGTTGGTGTGGCTCAACTCCAAAAGCAGTGTCAAAACAGGGCGTTGCTACTTTTCCTTTTGGGGTTGCGTGGCTTGACCGGTGCCATGAGATACAGCGCATTGGCAATACTACTCACCTCCCTTGTCAAGAGCTTCTTGTCTTAATGAACAAAAATGTGGTGGATAGCCCATAATGTCTTTGATAATCGATAATTGGAAAGGCACTCATCACTCATCCCTTATCCCAGGCTTGGGTGAAGTCGACCAATGCCAAGCCAGCCATTTCTTGGAAGTTTTTGCAGGCGCAAAACCCATTCCAAATAATAGCAAAATTATCGATGTTTGTGAAATCTGAGCCGGTGTTTGGTTTCATATATGTTGCCATCAAATGCACATGTTCTTTTAATAAATCATTTTCACCAGATCCAATTACCAATGGTGTGCAGGAGACCACATGCTCCACAGCGGAGTCCAACTGGAAGGTCTCCAGAGCCGAGCCCTGGACGTCCCTCACCTTTATTCTTGAACGTGGTTCAAAGGGTTCAGGTCCCCATCACTGAGATTTTTCCTATCCCATGGTAAAGTAATGTGTGGAAAACAGAGCGGAATCATCTTCTACGTAAGTAGCTCCCCAACCCCAATGCACCAGCAAATCTTTGCAAGGTGAACTACACCCGGAAGATGGATCTGGCAACAGCTTTTGGATTCATCCTGGCAGTCAATTTCGTATCTAGGCAATACATTTATACAGGGTGATGTTGTTCAGTGGCGGCTCCAAAAGGAACAGTTGTGAGATAGATGCATAAATAAATAAATAAATAAATAAATAAATGAATAAATGAGAGAGAGAGATATATATATGTATACGTATATCAAAAAAAGAAAGATAGATAGATGGATGGATAGATAGATTAGGTATGTATGTATGTATGTAGGTAGGTAGGTAGGTAGGTAGGTATAGGTAGGGGTAGGTAGGTAGGTAGGTAGGTAGAGGTAGGTAGGTAGGTAGGCAGGTAGATAGTTAAATAAACAAAAAGATACATATAGATAGATAGATAGGTAGATAGATAGATAGATAGAAAGATAGATAGATAGATAGACAGACAGATAGATAGATAGATAGACAGACAGATAGATAGATAGATATAGATTGACAGATAGACAGATAGATATATGTATAGGTATAGGTATAGGTAAATTCAGATTCCATAGAAACCATCTAATTATAACAGGCGAGCAGCCAGTCACGTTACAACCAATTGGTTTTTATTGTTTGAAGATTTTGGGGACTTTTCGAAAGAGACATAAAGAAATGGAACCCCACATTATCGCCGGGTTGGATTGAGGTTCGACACGTCCGACAACAAGGATGTGCGTGGTTTGCATTGCCGTGTTCGAGTTGGGTCTTCTTGATTCTTGCCTGCAAACTTTAAACCTATAGATATGGTATCCCAATCCAGCACTTGCCCAGAAGAAAACTATATATATATATGTTAGACTGTGGTAGATTGGGCTCGTTCTTACCAGAGTATGAAACAATCGTATATGTTTTTCTGGCATGTACAAGCGTGTATTGCAAAAGAAAGCTACATGCCTAAGCAGGGAGCTGCAACTTCCATCCAAGGAGCCAAGGATCGACGAAGAGGCATTTCCTGAGACCGCAAGGATGGAATTGCTTCAAATCCACGGCTGAGGGAAACCGTTTGGCCCGCCGACTGGCATACTTGTCAAGTCCTCAATTTGTAATTATTCGAACACACATACATACACACACACACATATATATATACACTATGATGTATGATTTGGTTTTCTGCCAGGTCAAATTTTGGATGGTTATAATAAACCATAATGAGCCCATGCTTTAAGCTCAGGCTGGAACTCTGCCATAAGCTGAAGATCTTCTACATTATCGAACAGCCTGAATCGTCTTTACTGTTTCGATATAAGCCATTCTGGCGCCTGTTGAAGAAGCACGGTGCCCACAGGGTGAAATGTTCACTTGGAGCTTTCAACGCCCTCACGGTAAAGCCAGTCCCACGACTACAATTTTGAAATGTCAATGCTCTTTTCATTTGCAGATCTTCCTGATTGCGCTTATGTTTGGATAGCCGTAAGGTTGTGTTCTGGGGAACGGCCCCATTTCTGAAGAAGCTGTCCAGGCAGGTGACTTCCAAACAGAGGCGCCAGCAACAATTTAAGGGAAACAAGTCAAGCCAAGCTTCCTCTGCCATTCATATATCTCAGCACAAACTCGTCCAGGTCCCAGCTTCGTCGAATCCGCAGTTTCCTCAAGCTGGATACTGCACGGGTCTATCGAAATGGTGCTGGTGAGACTCGCTGTGTCCGATGTCCCAGTTTTCACCAACAAAAGACTATTGGATGAATATTGGTGGGACATGTGTAGCGATTTAGAATTACATATAGATAGATACATATGCATGTGTGTACGTATGTATTTATACATATATACATATAAACAAAAACATATATATATATATATGTGTGTGTGTGTGTATGTATGTAGGTAGGTAGGTAGGTATGTATGTATGTACGCACGTACGTATGTTTGTATGTTTCTTTCTATCAATATATACATATATGTGTAGTTAAATAACGTTTTCTTACCTACAAATTGTCCAATACATCTTTGTTCACACACATATACCTTACATTTATACATATGTACTTAGACAGATAGATAGATAGATAGATAAATAGATAGATAGATAGATAGATAGATATATATACACATGTGTATATCCACACGGTATTGTACACAGAATCATATATGTGCTATATATATATATATATATGGCCGTCTCCTGAGGCAGGTGGCAAGGACCTCAAGCGAACTCAATCTTATCCTGGCGCCCTTGGATTGGAGGTGCCTCTGGCTAGATATGGGCCCTGGCCAATTGATTTATGGTTCAACTATTTAATTTTGGTTTGTCACCAAACGGTTTTTTTGAGATGGACACTACTGCTTTCCCAGCTTCATGGTTTTGGGGGAAACAGCCAATGTGAGGGGATTATAGTTGGGTCGTGCCTCTGGTAGTTGAAAAAAGATCTTTGGATTGTTGTTCGTCCGCCCCCATCGTTGTTGGGGCTTATGGCGTTTCCAACCAATGTCATGTTATCAAATCTCGACCTCATTCCAAATTTTGTTCAAGGGCCCTTGGATGTATTCATAAAGGACACTATCCCCAACAAAGGCCGATATCATGTGCAAACGTATGTAAGTAGAATCGGTTGCCAAATGGCGGCATCCCCCATGGCTAGAATATTTATATAAATGCATATTTATGTTTATTTATGTGTGTTTTGTTTATATAGTTATACAGATAGACCCATTGATATATACCCACCAGGTCCACCAGCTAATAACGCCAGAGGTCGGCAGATTGATGAAGAAGCACTGCAAACGCCAGTCCAAAATGGAAGTGGCTCCTGTGCAGGGTCTGAACTTCACAGATGATGGCTTCGATGATTCTAGCGACTCAGGGCTGGATTCTATCCTGTAGGATCTTTAGGTCTCGAGAAGGCCAACTCAAATTCAACAGGGTGCGGGTTCACCTTTAGAACTTGGAAATGCTTTACTTGTGTTGGGGAATGTTGGCCACCTGAACGCTAACCTTATGAGAGGCAATCTGGCAAAAGGTTCAGATTCCAGAATGGATGTTGGTGTTTACAAAATGGATGTTAAAAATGGATGTGAAAATGGGATATGTTATCTACTGAGTCTACTTCCCATCTATTTCCTATGTACTTCCTGTGTCACAACTGTCATGTGTCCTGTCCCAGTCTACCAGCATTTTTTTCTCTGACACCCACTGAAGTATAGGTTTCCTATAAGCATGGTATAAGTATAAGTATAAGTCTACCTACCTGCCTATTCTTGCCATTGTAGGAAAATGAGAGGAACATAGGCAAACACCGACAGATAACGGATAACGGTTATCAGGTTATCAACAATACATTGGGTTGATTGGGCCACCACAACTCAGCTCTTGTTGCGAAGCCGAAGCACATGTTTGATGATTGATGGTTGGGTGCGCGCATGATGACCCAAATAATGGCAGTTCACAAACCATTTGAATCTTACAGGGAACAACATAGATCAAACTGCAGTTGAGTTACAGTTAATGAACTCAACCATCAAAACCACAATGGTAATCGGTAACCACCAGATAACACATGCCAATTCCCTGAAACACTTGAGACAGCATCACGAGACAGGATCAATATTTCATTGAGGACAGGAACCCGGAAACATGGAGAAAACATCGATTTTTCAACATCCATATTTTTGTGAAAAAAAACATCCATTTCGAACATCCAAACTTCTATGTTCAGTCAATGACATATGTTTGAGATTCTAGCTTTTCAGATTTTTTGGGTCCAACAGTAGCAAATATATGGGAAAACATCCATTTTCCAAGGGTTTTTCATAGGTTTGGGCATGCCCCAACTGATTCCAAAAATGGATGTTTTCCAGGTTTTCGGATGGAAACTCGATGTTTTGCAAAGATTTCCATTGTTACCAAGAACAGGGATGGTGCCTTGGTGGCCTTGGTGGTAGCTGGTAGCAAATATGGGGAAAACATCAATTTTTCCAAGGTTTTTCACAAGTTTGGGCATGCCCCCACTGATCCCAAAAATGTGTGTTTTCCAGTTATTTGGTTGGAAATTCAATGTTTTGCAAGGCTTTTTCCATTGATAGAATGGTAGCTGCTAGCTACTGATGGTGCCTTGGCGGTAGCAAAAATGGGGAAAACATTCATTTTTCCAAGGTTTTTCATAGGTTTGGGCATGCCCCCACTGATACAAAAAAAGAATGTTTTCCAGTTTTTTAGATGGAATCTCTATGTTTTGCAAAGATTTCCATTGTTACCAGGTTACCAAGAACAGGGATGGTAGCTGCTGGCTACTTGTGGTGCCTTGGTGGTAGCAAATAAGGAGAAAACATCCATTTTTCCAAGGTTTTTCACAAGTTTGGGCATGCCCCCACTGATTCCAAAAATTGATGTTTGCCAGGTTTTTGGATGGAAACTCCATGCTTTGCAAAGGTTTCCATTGTTACCAAGAACAGGGATGGTGGCCTTTGTGGTTGGTGGTAGCAAATATGGGGAACACATCCATTTTTCCAAGGTTTTTCATAGGTTTGGGCATGCCCCCACTGATCCCAAAAATGGATGTTTTCCAAGTTTTTGGATGGAAACTCCATGCTTTGCAAAGGTTTCCATTGCTACCAAGAACAGGGATGGTGGCCTTTGTGGTTGGTGGTAGCAAATATGGGGAAAACATCCATTTTTCCATGGTTTTTCATAGGTTTGGGCATGCCCCCACTGATCCCAAAAATGGATGTTTTCCAGGTTTTTGGATGGAAACTCCATGCTTTGCAAAGGTTTCCATTGTTACCAAGAACAGGGATGGTGGCCTTTGTGGTTGGTGGTAGCAAATATGGGGAACACATCCATTTTTCCAAGGTTTTTCACAAGTTTGGGCATTACCCCAACTGATTCCAAAAATGAATGTTTTCCAGGTTTTTGGATGGAAACTCCATGCTTTGCAAAGGTTTCCATTGTTACCAAGAACAGGGATGGTGGCCTTTGTGGTTGGTGGTAGCAAATATGGTGAAAACAACAATTTTTCCATGGTTTTTCATAGGTTTGTGCATGCCCCCACTGATCCCAAAAATGGATGTTTTCCAGTTTTTTGGATGGAAACTTCATGTTTTGCAAGGATGTCCATTGTTACCAAGAACATGGATGGTGCCTTGGTGGTGGTAGCTGGTAGCAAATATGGGGAAAACATCCATTTTTCCAAGGTTTTTCACAAGTTTGGGCATGCCCCCACTGATCCCAAAAATTGATGTTTTCCAATTTTTTGAATGGAAACTCGATGTTTTGCAAGGGTTTCCATTGTTACCAAGAACAGGGATGGTGGCCTTTGTGGTTGGTGGTAGCAAATATGGGGAAAACATCCATTTTTCGATGGTTTTTCATAGGTTTGGGCATTCCCCCACTGATCCCAAAAATGGATGTTTTCCAGGTTTTTGGATGGAAACTTCATGTGTTGCAAGGATTTCCATTGTTACCAAGGACAGGGATGGTGGCCTTTGTGGTTGGTGGTAGCAAATATGGGGAACACATCCATTTTTCCAAGGTTTTTCATAGGTTTGGGCATGCCCCCACTGATCCCAAAAATGGATGCTCTTCAATTGTGAATGTGAAAACATGGTTGGTTTGCAGCTAAGCAGGTTTTCCATCAGTCATTACTGAAACATCCATTTTTCCAAAGCTTTTCTAAGTCTTTGGCATTTCTTACAAGTCCCAAAAATGCATGTGTTGTCAACGTGGGCGACTTAGCTGTTAGCTACCCAAATTGGAGAAACATTGGTAAAACATCCATTTTCCCTTCAATTCTGATAGCTTTTGCAAGAGTTGAACAAAACACTGGGCTCAAAACAATGGATGTTGGCAGCACTGCAGCGCCCCTTCAGGTTGTGATGTGTACATTGTAAATGTACCAGTGCATTTTGTGATGTGGTTCATATATAAAGTGTATGTGTACAATATACATGTAATGTATTAATATAATGAATGGTAATAAACTTAATATATGTAATTTTGATTTTTTCAGCTGGACTGTAGATATATAAAGAAAATATGATCTTGCATTTGCCTTGTACTGACTGTAACTGTTATGATTGTAATCTAGTTCCTTTACTCACTATATACTATAATCTTGTTGAAAAAATCAAACAGTTGGTTACTGTAGTAAAATGGCAGCAGCAGCTAGTTAGCTATCTAACAGGAACAGCCGTAAAAGACATACCATTTTTCCGATATCAGTTTCCGTTTCAGTTTCAGTTTTCATTGCCATATATTCATCTGCCTGCCTGGCTGCCATCCTGTCTGCCTGTTTGCCTGTCTGCCTGTCTGCCGCTGTCTGTCTGTCTGCCTGTTTGTCTGTCTGTCTGTTTGTATGTCTGTCTGCTTCTATCTCCTACTTATCTACTTCTACCTGCCTATGTGACCGGAACTGTGCTATTTTTCCAACATTGGCTAAGCTAAGCAGCTAAACCACATAGTTAAACATTTTTTTGCTTGTTCGGTGAAAGCAAATCAGCCTAAAGCTGAATCTAAACTCCAAGGTAGAGCCACAGCAGAGAGATGTAGAAAGGTCAAACAGTCAAACCCTCAAGAAGAGGTTGAAAGCAAGGTTCCAAACCAGCTTTGTATAGAACATTCGAATTTCAAAATCACTATCTTGCAAGCTGGAACAAACATGCATTTCCAACATTCAGGTAACATCCATTTTCCCCAAATGCAACTCTCATGGTGTTTTGCTGGTTGCCTGTCATAACGCTAACCATTTGAAAACGGAAGTTCTGCACTCAACTGGCTGTTTTGGTAAATTTGTTTCAAGGGCCGATATTCCATAGACACACTCGGAACATGTGCCATTGTATGGCCATTGGATCAGGCTGCAAAATCAGATCCGGGGAAAACAGCCTTTGTATCACACTAATGTGTGTCACCGTGTCATGTCGTGCCGTTTTGTGCCCTTTTAAATTGGGATCCAATCACCAGTTCGAAACCCCGACCAAAAAATGAACAACCACATTTCGTGTCATTTCGTGTCAAAGCGTGCCAACGGAAGCATACGTGACATGAAAACGTGGCAATTCGTGCCGGACGATCATACCCCTCAAAACCCCGACCAAACAATGAAAAATCACATTTCGTGCCATTTCGTGTCAAAACGTGCCAACGGAAGCATACGTGACATGAAAACGTGGCAATTCGTGCCGGCCCTCGTGCCCCTTGGTTCAGGTTCTTGAAAGCCCATTTTGGTCATAGGACAGTCTTTTGGAGCCCCTGATCATGGCTGCAGCCTCGCCATCCGCTTCTGGCAAAGGCCGCGGTGACACCATGCCAACGCCTGCGAATGCCGGGAAAGGCAAAGGAGATGATGGAGGGAATGGTGGAGAGGGGAACAAGGGGAAGGGCAAGTGGTTGGCAATCAAAGGAAAGCTACAGGCAAAAGGGAAGGACATCAGTGCTTTCATGGGAAAGTTCTTTTCCAAAGGCAAGTCCACGCCTACGGGAAAAACCAATGAGAACACCGCCGTTGCAAATGGTGGGGATTCTGTTGATCATGAGCCTAATGGTTCCAAGGAGGGTGAAGGATCTGTGAAGGAAGAGGAACCTCGATATATAGTTACTACCGAAGCATTTTCTATCGGGGGGTCCCAACATGGATTGTATCAAATTGTTTTGTTTTTTTGATTTAATACCTCATCACCTATAGCCATCCCTCTGCTTATAAGGACCGTGGTTCTCACGATGCGGGGCCAGCCGACATGAAGCCCGTAGTCGAACCGCCAGCCACTATGTACAGTTGTGAGGGGGAACTTACCACACAAGAGGCTTCCCTGCCACCTGCAACAGTTCTGGGGAACCACCGGAAAACCATTCAGACTTGGTTAGGCTCTTTGTCCTCAGAAGACTTGGATGGACAAATGGAAATTGCCCAACACCATGAGAGCTTCGGGGATTTCATTGAAGAAAAGTTCGGTGATGACCATGAATTTGGTGAGAAACCCGTTGATGACCTTTGCCAATTTGAAATGTGGTTGAAGAAACGAGCCTACCGTGACATGTTGTGTGCCAAGCACGCACGTGCCAAAGCACTCCCCACGCCATCTGCCACAGCAGCACCTGAAGCTCCCAAAGCTGAAGTGCCGAAGAGTGCACGAGCGCCCAAGCCAGCCTCGCGGGAGTCTGGGAAGGGTAAGGGAACTGAAAAGTCTGACAAGTTTGTCCCTTTAGAGCTTTCTGATGCTGAAAAAGAAGCTTATGGCTCCTTTTGGAACAAATTTGACAAGAAGAGCAATTCACCAAATACTCCGGCCACTACGGCTTCTACAAGTCAGAAATCCCCAACAAGTGCATCGAATGAATCTGATGGATCTACAGGGTTGACCCCGGAATGCCGGAGAAAGTTGGCATTGGAAAGCCCTGCAGGACAGATAGCTGTTATTGCAATTTTCTTTCTGCCAAATCACCGTGAAAATCACCTGACCGGGTGCAAAAATTCAACATACCGGGCCAATATATTACAGTTTCAATAGTATGTAAGAAGTTGTGTCTGTTAAGCTTTACTCAATCCTACTTACTTTCCAGGATTGGGTCTTTCATGCAGGATCTATGAACGGGGACGCAGGTGAAGCGCGACTGGCCCAGCTATTGACTCAGCGATGATTATAGTGACATCACAACATGTATAGGACATACCTTAACACAAAAACATCGTTGTTTCCCTTGGTGTCACCAAGGCCAAACTTATACCGGAGAAGCACCAGCTATATGAGCGATGGATCAGGGATACCGGAAATGGAGAAATTGACTGACGGGAATGGGAAGACCAGACGGGCGGGGCCCTCATTGTCTATTTTTGTTTCCTCAGAGTTCTGGTGAATGGTCTTGAATTCAACCGTAGCTTAGGTCAAATTACTGACGCCGGATGATGCCCAGCGCATTCAGGTGTGGAACTATATATAAAGCTGAAGACCACAAGTCAGATCCCTGTTTCAAAACCACATCTTAGATGGTCAATTTCCCATGCAGGCCTTGACATCTGCAGATCAACTTGCGCCAGAAGAGAGGAAGCGTCAGCGCGAAGCCTTGCGCAGACGCATGCAGCAACCAGGCCCGTGACATTTGTTTGGGCGTGACACTGCATACATGCATGTATATCTATATATTATAAACATATATATATATATATTCATGTATATATATATATACATATATATTCATGTATATATATATACATATCATATATATATATATATGTGTGTATTTATTTGATCTATTTATTCATGTATTTATATATGCCATATGATATCTCGTATCCTGAACTAGCTCTGCACCCTGACATGGTGATCGATTTCATTTGACAATGGCATCGTTATTATCTCTTCTTTGAAAATTTCCCAAGTGCAGGCTTAAAGCCTGGATTGCTGCAAAAATACCAGGCGGCAAGGACTGCGGATGACAAATGGGCCCTATTGAAAGCATTCATGTTGGACCCAAGTATGCAGTCGGTGGAGGTTGAAACAATGTACACAGACCAAGCAGAACACGATGATGCCTCGCAGTGGGTGGAACTGCCCCTTTCCCAACTACGCAAACTTTACACAAGCCCTGAGGAGAAAGCCTTCCTTGAACGGGAAATCATAGGAAAACAGGGAGGCCGACCGCATCCCCAGGATTCAACAGGCCAAGACAAGGAAATGCGCATGTACTGGGCATTTCGAGAGGCCACCGACACCAGCAGAAACAAGCAGGCAATTGGGACAAAATTGTCAGCACGAGGATCAATTCCCGACAACAAAGCAGCAAGGCAAACACTTGCAGACGGCTTGGCTGCCGCGGCAACCACTTTGGAGGAAAAGGTTCCACTCCACGAGTTGAGCCAGCCCCTAAGCACAAAGGAAAGGGTCAATCAAAAGGTAGAGGAGGGAAGCCCACTACACCAAAGGCAAGGATTGATTAAAATTCTGATCCTCATCAATTGCATGAAATGAACCCCCATTGGATAAACAGAATGTTCATTATGTTCATATTGCATGTTTGAAGCTTGTGCATATATGCTAAGTCATATCCTTTAGTGACATGGCATTGGATGTGAACCACACCCGTGTTGCGTGCCCAAGCCTCCACCAAGTACATCAAACGCTGCTCCAACACAGCTGACAAGACCGCCATCACAGCTACCGCATTGCATCCTAAGCGCGCAGGTGAAGACCCCAGAACAAATTGAACGAGAAGCTTTTGACGCAGCCCTTGCTTCGTCATACTCTCAGTCTTTTCTGGTTTTGGACCCAACCGAAAATTCGTCTCAAAAAAAATATCTGCTTGATTTTGCCAACTCTCAGCTTATATCAGCCTAGGTGAAATAGCATTTCCAATGTCTTGATTGTCTCAACATGTCCCAAACCAGTTGCTAAATGATCCTTCTAAGGGCAAGTAAGCTGGCTACGAAAGCTCGGACAACTTCCCAAGCATTGCAAGCAACGGGCATTCAACACCAGGAGGTGACAATTTCTTTGAAATTCTTGCGTTGCAATTACAGCCTATATATATTCAACATAACAACATAACATTTTTTTGTTGGTGCCAGGCCACCATTGCCGCCTTGGGTAAGATCTACAAGAAACTGACTGGACTGGTCACGCAGCCGCTGCCTTATATATCCCAGAACTATACTTCCCGAGGTTTGTTTTGTCATAAACTTGTATTGCCAAGGATTTCCGACATGGTTTTTGAAGCCAAACCGTTCGATGAGTACAAAGCGGTCTTTGATGCTGAAGAGAAGTTCATAGAGGACCCCAATGCAAGATCTCACATATATTCCCTTGCACTGCCTCCCATTATATTTGATTTTTCCCTTAAAGGATACATGTTTGTTAACATTGCGTTTAGCCAATTTCATTGGAACAACTTTTGGGGCAATTATCCCACCACTGGCCAGCTGCTCTGCCAGGACGCAGTGAAACGAGTTCAAGAAGCTGGTGCGATCAAGGAAAGCTTTGAGCGCCGTTGGGATCCCAGCATGTTTAGGGCTTTTCAGGAGATGTGCACGCATCCCAAAAATAAAAAGACACCATTGTGTCAGAATTGTTTTTTGGTTGTTGCAAACCATTAGATGGGGAAGATCCTTATTTTCAACCGTTTAAACCCAAATTTTCGATTCTCTTCGGCCCGATCGGGCATCAAATCTTGCCATGAATTGTGGCCAGTACATAATCTAAACACCCACCTTGCATATATATATATATATATTATATACAAAATATTTCCTCGAATATATACCATTGTATTTACATGTAGGTATATGCCTTCATACATACACATCTTCTTATCATCTCACATATATAATCCCATGTTCAATACAAACATATCTATTTCCCATTATTTAGGTTTTTCTATTTCACAGAAAATGTCTCACTGATGTTTACCCAATGTTTAAATATACAACATCGGACATATGTATGTATATATATTCCTGATTTATATAAAGGTTACTCTTTTTAGATGTACATTTCACCTTATTTCCCATATATATATATAAATATCCGACAGATACCAATATATATATATATATACACCCCATATCACATATATGCCCAATATATACCCTATATATATAATAATCCCATATAGCCCCATTATGAATGTATATCCCATTATCATACATATATGTTTTGTTGATACCCCATGAGTTCTTAATACAAGTACATAAACACTTATTTGTCGATCGATTTTAAATTATATATATATATACACATAATCCACAGCCCTTGGCCAGCATGCCCAGGCCAGAAAGCCGAGAAGCGAAAGGCTGAAAAGCCAAAGGGAAAAGTGAAGGCCAAAGCCAAGGCCAAGCAGGCTCCAAAAGCTCTCGCCGCTCCACCGGCACCTGCAGTGCCGGCCGAGGAGTGGCCAGAGGACGATGACTTGTCAGACATGGATGGGGAAGAGTTGGATTCAGATGACATGGAACCAGAGTTAGAAAACCAGGATGACTAAATTTGGTCCATCCGTTTTGGGAAAATGTGAAATTCAGTTTTCCACCCTTGGAGTTCTGAACACCGGACCTCTAGTGGCTTTAGGAGGATGGGGTGCACGCTGTTTGGTGTGTGCCATTTGATCTTTGGGAATGTGCAGCGCAGACGCTACGCATTATGGGGTGATAGATCACGAAACTTCAAAGATATTCCCAACCAATAACTTTCAACTGTTTCAAACGGGGCATGTTTTCAAGGCAGAGTTTCGCGGTCACTGCCATTTAGATAACATCCTGTCCCATTTGGCTGCTATGGACCGATGATGATTTGGTGGGATTCACCGTGTGCAAAAAAGTCTGCATGTGCCTACTGTAAAACTGTGACAAAACAATGTCCTAAATTATGTCCTGGTTTTCAAAACATCAGGGTTGAAAGGGTTGTGCCCAAAAGCCCTCCTTGAATGTGCTGCCAGGGTGCCACAGCATCGTTGGAATCAGTAGTGATGTTGATCACTTTCGCCTGCGTGTCAAAGCATATCGACCCACGTTGCCGTTTATAACTATATAGCCCCACAAGTGGGATATGGGATACGAATTCCCAAAAAAAAAAGTTTCACAGGGTTGGTCAAACGACCAAGCCGTTCATGATGTTGTTAATGGTCTGGTTATGGAATTCTTGGACATGCTGGGCGATGGGGAGGCTGGTCCCACAAATGGAGTACAAGATAGAAACCTTTTTTTTTTGGAACACAATGCTTTGATTGGGTTACTGGAACCTTTAAGACTGCAATATGGGCAGGTGCAGATGAAAAGGCTTCAGTCTCTGCTCCGTCCAGCCCTCATTTCTCAACATGGGTACCCCGGAGATTGAAACTCAAATAGTAATTGTGATTGCTGAGGTCGTTTGGAAAGATTTCCACATACGTTGGTCCCGGCCCTTTGCCGCATTTACAGCGCAGGGGGAAAATAGGAAATAAACATTAGAATGATGTCCTTCAAACTTTGATCATGATATCTACAAACAATCCTATGATCATGCATACTTATATTGCATCTACTTTGGTCGTGTCCAAATATGAAAAGGAACATATGTTTGGCCACAAAAGTGAGCATGTGGTAGCGCAAGATATTTGGAACTAGAATCTGTTCGTCCCCCACCGCAGCCCAGGAAATCAATTCTTCGGCTGATCGAATCTCTGAATGGGGCCAGCAGCAGCTGGGGACCGGGCAGGGCCCTGGAGAATTGGGTACATGGTCAACCCTGGCGTGCCTTTATTGCATCAACACTTTATTTGGTATCAACAATTATTTCTTATGAACTTTTTTGATGTATAATATCAAAGCTGATAGAACGCCATCTGAGGAAAAGCTCTTCCACTACCATTCCAGCATCTTGTCTTTTGGGGAATTATATTATCAATTGACATGGCTGGGATATAGCATACCCTCAAAATGGTTTGGCAACAAGTCAACAACAAACAAACAGCCCAGGATTGAAGTTCCGATATTTTATGAGGATGCCCGTGGACAGCAACGCACATCTGGGATGCATTACGTGTTGTTGCCACATGAAATCTTGGGAACCTTTTATCAGTTTGAAGCCGCTGACCTCATGATGAAATTAACTGGTGGCCCAGGTGTTTCTTGAATGCAATCTTTTCGAGGTGCACTTGGAAACTCAAGATATATATATATATATACTCATACTCCCTTCATGATTACATTGAGGCTTTGGCGGAGTTCTGGTCGCATGAGCAAACTACAGAATGGTTTCGCAATCACCCTATTCTCAGAGTCACATGGTTGCACCATCTTTGATGTCTGAAACATACAAAAACGGTTGAACGACTGAATTGCGAATTACCACCAAATTAACATACACATTTTGGATGTTTGTCCACAGCCTCCCTCAATTCAAAACAAGTATTTTATCCTGCTCAGGTGACTGATCCCAACTTTGTCATACCCTTTCGTCTCTTCGGGGATGGGGCTGAAAGTAGCAGTAGCTTGGCCTCAAACATATGAGATCTCGAATTGGGTTTTTGTTCGATAGCCCAAAAAAATTATCCAACAACGTCGCCCCAGGAAAACAAAAGTTCGAAATCTTGACTCTGGTTCTGCCTGTAGTGAGCCACGCAAATCGAAGTTCGGCAACCATGGACACCAGAATTTTGCACCATGGCTCAACTAATGATGAGAGATGGTGGATGGGTGGTTACCTGCAGGCAAAGCCTATTTAGTTGAACTGAAGGGAAACAAAGAAAGTACAGTAATATCATGTGCCATTCCTGTGGTATTTCCCATGATCCAAGGATCTCCTGTATGAGCGGGACGTATTGCAACCATTATTCCAGGACACGAATCTTGGAGACAATTGCCTGGAGTTTTGAAGCACTTAGTATCTCAGCAGGTCCACGGTTTAAATTTTGACCCATGGAATTTTCAAATAAACACATTTTTTTTGTTTTCCATACCCCCATGATTGTTTTTTTTTGGTCTGTAAATATGGAGGTTTGTTTCCTAAAGCCGGGGCACCTTAAGAGCCATAGGTGCCAAAACTTAAAATAAGTATATTCGGCTGTTTTGGGGATACCACCATTTTTGGAAATCACTATATATATGTACACATAAATATTTGTTTATATACAAATACATATCATCATACCCGTATCTATCTATGTATATATATATATAAATCTATCTATCCAGATGGACACCAAATGGTGCCACCCCAATATATGCATAGGTACTGGCAAATACCCAAGATGTGATCCATGGGGACGCCCGTTTACGGCGCAATACCATCCTCACAGAATGCGTCTTGCTGGAAAGCGTATTGCTGGCAACTATGTGGGTGTACTGGAAGCCTTCCAGGGGGACCAAGACTTCATTAGAATTTTGTTTTCACCATCCCGCTGCATAGCTGCATTTTTGGGGAACTATAAGTATGTGGGCTTTATTCGATTTGCGCCACACCATTACATTGCGGATTTCCCAAAAAAAAGTTTTAATCACCAGACTATGCAACCTAGGTTTTTTTTCCAGGCAATTTTGCTGCTATTATTGCAGGGCATGTCAATGGGTTTATCAAGACGACAACCCCCAGCTGAATGATTACTTGTACACAAATTTTGGACCAGCTGCTGCACACCGCAATACGAACCCTGATGTCCAAATTGGAATCTTTTTTGAGTTTCTATTTTCCACGCAATTCTTCTGCAATGTTTTCCTAGGAAAAGATACGGTACCAACAAATTCTTCTTATGAAATCATGGGGGCATTTTTGGTTTTCGAAATTCCCAATGTATAAAGATACCATTGGATGTTTTGAATGTAAGGCTTCAAGGATTTGGGACAAATACAAACCGATTCCCCAACTTAATCTGTGAACGGCCTTGCAGGTTGGTGACTATCAGTGAGTGGGCTGATGTCAATCCAGAGACACCCCTCATGAGGATTCCGGGGTGGTCGCCGTGGCGATTCTTGGCGCCAAAAACCATAGGTAGATTTGTGGTGCATCTCACCTCCATTGGATGAAGTTATCAACCGGAAATCTAAGTATTTTATTTCAGGTTAGCCCCATTTACTTTGAGTGATCCCCATTTACTTTGAGTGATCCCCATTTACTTTGAGTGATCCCCATGTACTTTGAGTGATCCCCACCAACTGACATATATTGTGACATTTTATTTGGGGCTCTATCTTTTCGAAGTAGCCCTTGCCTACCAGGAATCCTTCCAGACATCATGCATATATGCTACCTTGCATGTACGGTGGATGTGATAACCAGTTGCTTGCTGGACTGGAGCGATTCGGCTTCTCTGTTCTTCAATGGGTCATCTCGTGAGAAAAGGCTGACACAACTCTGGGAAAACTACAGGTCCTGGTGTGAGTCCCAAGGGTATGATTTGGCTGACAGGGCCTCCCGAAAGTTATTCTCAACAAGTGCATTGAAGCCAGAGGCAGGTAAGTATGTAGAAGTCTCCCAGAAGACTCTCAACGCTACAGCAGCACGGTATATGGCATTTTGGGTGGCATCGGTTTCCAAAAAAATCGCTGAATGGACAGGAGCTGATCCAGATATGTTATTAGGTGAAATTTCAGTGTTTTTGCTTTGCAAATTTTGAGATTATGATTAGATCCTCAAAAATTCCTGGTTTCAAATCTTAACGGTAGTTCCAAACATTTGGGGTTAAAAGTGATAAAGCAAGGATGTAGGGATTTTCAAGGGTCTCCACACACCGTTTTTGATTTCTGAAACCAAACATACCTACCCCTTCAAATCTTTTATGGTTCATGTCGACCTGCTTTGATCCAAGGTTTCGAGCTGGTGCGGCGATGGGACTGGCGGAGATTGAAATGGTGTGCCTACGTGGTGGCAGAGTTTTTTCACCCCCAGAATGGACACATTTTGAGTTTGGGTACTTGGTGTACAGGGCTGGTTTGAACAAGATGGGGGCAATAGCCCTTGAGAAAAAACAAACCAGATGGAGACAGCGACCAAAGGGTCATGGTCTTGAACACCTGGTTCATGATTTCCACGGGCTTAATCCCCGTTACTGTAGCAATTTCCTCGATGAGGATTTCGTGAGAAGATCCAAAAAATTGGCAATTCAATCCAATGCCCGGTTTGTGTCGAAACATGTTCTCTTTAGATATGCTATCGCTGCCACACTGCGGTGGACGGATTTGAAGCCCGAGTGAGAAAAAACGTGCTGTGTTTGTACGGTACGCCATGGTTCAAACACCCAATCAGCCGACAATATTGATGGAAAAAGGGATCCCCCAAACCATATACAATGTGGGGCCCCCAAAATAGCAAAGTTGGTTTATAACTCCAGTAACTATGATTTAAGGTACATATAACTATATAGTTAATGGGGTTTATAAATTAATTTATGACTAGGGGGCCCCACATTGTATATAATTATCAGCATGTTTGAAACATGATAGAGATGTCTCGAAGGATCTCGAGGGCTCAGGGGTGCACATGAAACCGTGCAACATAACCTATAGCCAAATGGTATTTACAGGTCTAACCAGAACTGTGCCTCCCAGTTTCCCTGGACAGAAAAAAGTCCAGCTCTATTGCTATGTTGGCAATGTTGGAAGCTCAGTGAGCAGGATTGAGATTGTATATGCTAGGCTCAGCACCTAGATTGGCTATTGGCTCGTGTCATGGGACTGTTTCCGGCGTGAAAATATATAATGCAAATCATAGGGAGGGCTGGGTGGGGAACATGCTGCACCGAGCTACCACTGACACCGGCTGTTCAGCTGGCACCGGCTGTTCACATGACACCGGCGACATAGAAAGGCTGGTTAACCCTTAGTGGTAGGGAAAGCATCACACAGAATCACGACATCACCAATGATGAGGGTTTCATTGCTGCCCTGGAATACCGGGCTCAATGGAAACATTTGGCACCACCAGGGGAAACCACCAAGAAAACACCGCTGTCAGAGACGGCAACTGAAACGGCAAACAGATGTGCAGCCATCGCGGAAGACCAAGATGAGCGAGGATTGTACTTCTCAGTTGAAAACCCGGAGGGGTCGCCGCTCTGGGAATTGAAGGCCTACCAGAGATTGGCAAAGAGGCCAGGGGTGAAGCGAATCCGGCTGGACCACTGTCCATATGGAGGCCCACACCTCGTCACCACGGCAGTAATGCACAATGCACCGTGGTTGACCGAAGGGAGAAGATGCCATGAGGTACCAGCACATCGGCACACAAGGGTGAGTAAAGAGGAGAGGTCAAGTGGACGGGGTATGATCGACACCCCCACTGGACTTTACGAAGAGTGGGCCTCCGGGTGGCAAACATGGCTCAACAATTCAGAGCTAGCCACAACCAACACCGCCTCGAAAGAGACCTATGTGAGGCTGGGGAAGTACCAAAACAAGCTGGTTAGGGCTGAGCTGGTGCAGGACAGACCCCACTGAAATCCAGAGGACCCAGAGCCACGCTCAGACGAGGAAGATGTCAGCGTGGGAGGCATGAGGAATCCTAGGAAAGCAATTATGCAGATGCCCGCCTGGCAGACCTGGGGAGAAGCAGCTAATCGGGCGCTGGATGAAGTCGCCAGGGCTGTGCCGGACTTTGATAAACTGGCCAAGTCCCTGGGGGCTGAAATGACGCCCGAGGAAGCTGATTTAGCGCAAACCAGGCTCAGCAGGATTGGCAAGCTAGCTGCGAAAGCTCTCGGGGCCCTAGCTGGGTGCCCACAATGGGATGAAAAGGGCCCCACAGGATGGCGGTGGCAGTTGGTGGACGCCGTCACCAAGCAGACCCGAGACCCGGATATAGATGTGGCACGGTGGCTCGGGGGACATACACCGCTTGGCATTGACAGGCCTATCGTGCCAAGAGGGGTCTTCCAGTGGACGGACATCACGAAAGCCCAGGAGGCAAGTGCCGAATACCTGGCTGCACTCAACGGTCAGGGGCACATCGACAGGAACTACACCTCCTTCCATGAACATGAGGAAGAGTCCCGTCAGGAACTGGGCAGGTTGATCCAGGCTGGGCATCTGGAACCGCTCGGATCATGGAACGAGGTCACATCAAAATGGCCGGGTGCCAAAGCCACGAAACTGGCCACTCTCGTCAAACCAAAGGCGGATGGATCACTCAAGATCAGATTCATTGCCGATATGAGGCGCTCCGGGATCAATGGGATGGTTCACCTCGAGGAAAAGATTGCCCTACCCCGGGGGTCCGACCTTGTCCGGGACGCCCTGGACCTAATTGAACAGGGGCAAGCGGAGGTGGAACTATACACCGCCGATTTCACGGATGCATTCTTGAATCTTCCCATCGACCCAGCCGAACAGCAATATGCTATCATCATGGCAGAACCTGGCCAATACTGCGCCTACAGGGGTGTACCATTCGGACTCGCGTCCGCACCGTTGCTCTGGGGGCGTTTGTCAGCGTGGCTGGGACGAGCCGCCCAGGCCCTCCACCCGCCCGACCGCCACAGACTGCAGATTTACGTTGATGATCCGGCAGGCGTTATCCGAGGCACCCGGACACAACGTGACAGGATCATTAGCAAAACACTTGCCCTGTGGGCTGCCTTCGGAGCTCGCATTGCCTTGCACAAAGCCAGCCGAGGCAGACAAATCAAATGGATCGGGGCGGAATACACCATCGTACACGGTGGAGTTCAGATTGCCGTGGATGCTGACCGCATTCAGAAGCTTCAACAAACTGTTGAAGATGCCCTCAACCAGCAGGGCATGGTTTCTGGAATGCGTAGCGTTGCAGGCGAACTCAGCTGGGTGGCGGGCCTTATCCCCACCATTCGCCCGTTTGTCAACATGATTTGGGCGGCTGTCTACAGCATGGAAGGGCAAAGTGCCAGAGTCACCGCGGGGAAGTCCCGTGCCAGGATGCGACCCACCGGCATGGTGTTCTCTAAGGCCATCCGATTGCCCATGATCTGGATGAAGAAATTCCTGCAAGGCCAGCATGGGGGCCTCCGCCGCACCCGCTGGATCTCTGATCGTCACGCTCAACCACAGTGGGTTATCCGCACTGACGCGTCAACGTCTGGAATGGGCGGCATCCTGCTCGACCAACAGGGAAGGCCGGTACGCTGGTGGGCCAGCCCGCTCCACCCCAACACCCTGCAGGAACTGCAAATAACAGCAGGCCAACCGGGCCTTATGACAGTCTACGAACTCCTAGCCCTGCTCCAGTCGGTTCACACGTGGCGCCATCTATTCCGCCGGTGTCGGCTGGGCCTCCTAGTGCAGCTTGATAGTGAGTCCGCCCTGCGCGTGGCCATTAAACTGGCGTCACCACATCCCGTCGTGAACCGAGTGGCAGCCGAAATGGCACTCCTCCTAGAGGACCTAGGAGCTGAAGCATTCACCGGCCAACACTGGCGCAACATCATCAACATCGAGGCAGACGCCTTGTCGCGCCTGCAGGAGGGAAAGGACGTGCCGCAACGGTTGCGGGGCTTACCACGGGACTCTGCTGACCCACCTCCACTTCGGATCCAACGTGCACCTCGACTGGCACTCTAAGCGTGAGCTGGAGGGGGTCGTAGTGAACTTGCCCACGTAGTCATTCCAGGTTACCCCAAATCTTGGTCTATGTAACCCTAATGATGTTTCGTTAATACACCCAAGAGTAAACTCATGTCCACTCCATCCCCTTACCTGACAGGTTACTTAAGCCATCAAACTTCAAACTTCCCGCAGCCCTTTTTGCTCATGCTGGACTGACCTGTTGGGCGCCCTTCTGGTCGACTTGTTTTTTCACGGCCCTCCTGTGCTGGGCCGCGGTGCGATGCTGCTCTGCACTGTGCGCCGGCGGCATTGGAAAACTGTTGGGCTTACCGCGGGGCTTGTCGCGGCATTCCGGAGTTCGCGACCGAGTCAGGAGGGAAAGAAACGACAGCGAACCGACTCCTGCTCCGGAAGGGGAAAGGCCCCGACCGCTGCCAGGGGGACCAATACAGCGGAAAGGGTCCCATTGCCGGCAGAGGGCACAACATGCAGGCCCAATCCGTCTTCAGAGCCCCTGCCTCAGCCAAGCAGGGGCGGGACTGGAGGAGTCCGGGACCGTTGGCATGGGCTGACGGACCAAACTAAGCCGCACCTTTGGGACCTGGGCAAGTTGTGGAACTGCCAGTACTACTGGGAGAGCTTCCTTCGAACCATGACCGCGTCGCAGTCCTCGTCGGGATCATCCGGCAGTTCAAGGAGGACGCTGGTGCAGGGAATGGCACTCCCGCTCCGCCGCCGGAGGGGGTGCCGGAGGCAACCGGCAATGCAAAGAAGAAAGAAGACCGGCGCAACGAGGACCCCCCGGATCCGGGCCGGGGGAACCGCCGTCCTTGGGTGCACCCGGACGCGCCGGAGTTTGCCCCGAGGTGCTGCAGCTGCGACAAAAGTGGAATTGCTGCATTGGCACACCAGGGAGAAATTACAACGGATACCCTGGCCACACGTGGAACGGGTCCGGACGGGAACCTGCGGCTGGCCATATGTCTTGCCCCGAACACCCGAGGCATCATCCGGGGACATGACTCGACACGCAGGTGTGGGCACACCCCCTGTCCTAGGTGCACCATCCGACTGGAGGACCAGTACATGTGCGCTTGCTGTGCGGCTCGCGTCCGAGCGCAGGGCTCAGCGCAGCACGGGGCCGGGCGCCTCCCGGCACCCTTGCCACGAGCCAACCGGCGGGATCGGCAGGGGCCGCGGAGGCTGCCGCCGCCCTGCACGGGGGGGCGTGCGGAGAAGGAACTTGCCCCCGAGCGCACGGAGGCGAAGGAGGAAGAGGATCGGACGGAAGCCGACCCGCCGCAGGAGGAAAACCGCGGGCCGGAGCCAGCAGCAGCAAGGGTGGACGCACGCCGGGGAGATCCGCGTGACCCACACCCGGACCTGACCGAGCCGCGCGAGTCGCCGCCGAGGCCAGAACCCAGAGACAGGGAACGTACCCCGCGCCGCGCCGCCGTGAGGAATCGGCGCCACCCGGTGGATCGCACCTACCGCACAGACTCTGAAGACACAGATGACTCGGTAGAGGAAGAAGAGGTCACGGAGGAGGAACCTGACCCACATCGAGGCGCGGCCCCAGAGGGAAGCCGGAGGAGCCGCTCCCGGGAGCACCCACCGGACACCGAGGACAAGTATGAAGTGTGGCCCCGAACGTATTGGTGCACGGTGGGATGTGGACGATACGGC